TTAATTAGTTATTTACAATTGAAAATGTAATATAATAGTTTATAATCACGTCTTTAGCTGTATATAAGTTGTTATACCTGTCCATTGGAGTACTCCATCTATTGTCTCAATTTTAAACATGCTAACTTATTTTTTGTATTAACATCGCTAAACATAATCAAATCAACATTAAATTCATGTTAATAAACAATTAAATGCATTACAATTTAATCATAAATATTCATTTATTAATATATAAACTATTTTAAAAATATACAAATATTTTATTAATGAGAAAAAAGTACTATTTATTACAAATAATTAATTAAATTGTTTAGTTTCCTATAGTAATCGACACACAATTTGTAACTAATTTATAAATAACACATAAATATACACAACAATTACTGTTAACTATAATGAGGTGTGAATAATATTGAATCGTATGGGAGTATTGGGATGGATAGACATCACGTGAGTCTTAATCTCGCGTTTATTATCACACAAGTGGTCGCAGACACAGCACTGGAACTGTTTGTTCAGTGCGGACAACGGCCGGGAGGGCACAGATGGTGGTGAGGGTGAAGGCATTAACGATGGCTTTGGCACTGATTTATCACTGTTTTTAAACAAAGAAACAGACAATTAATGCAAACAATAAAATCATACAAAATCATAACTAAATACTAACGCAATCAACGGCTCATCGGCGGCACCGGTGGTGGACTTGTTTGGGGCAATAGTTGCGGTCATTTGTCGCTCTTCTTGCGCTTCTTCAGCTCTTGGAGCAACTCTTGTGTCGTTCGCCTCAGTATTGCTGTTCAATGGGAAGAGTAGATCACCGGATGAAGTGATGGTCACATCGAGAATAAAGACATTGGTTTTACACAATTCATGCGAAACACAACTCACGTATTGTTATCATTACTTGCGATCAATTCTTCGTCCGATTCTTGTTCTTCGTCGCCATCGGCGGCCACACTGTCACCGCTCGCAGCACTCGGCGGTGAGCGCTGGTGGCCATTGGTTCCAGAGGTGTGGCCATTAACTGTGGCCTTAGGTTTGCTAACTCTGACCGCCGCCGGTGTACTACTGGTCACCACATCCACGATCTGACAGTCGCTCTCATCGCTCAGCACTGGCTTAACGTCTAAAAGGGTTGACAAAAATACATGTAAACAATTAAGTTTGAATTTAAAACTCATTTGTTTAGAACTAGCACATTTTTGGTGATGATTTTTCAACTAGTACAGTTTTAGTTAGTGTTTAACTAATTACAAGTGTTATAATCAGTAGTTTTTGTTTTGTCATAAATAATTAAAACTGTATTAATGTGGATAACAATTAAATTTAATGAACACAACAGAAAATAGCGAGATATACACACATGATCCTAAATGCAAACTAGATTTAAACTAGATAAATTAAAATTAAACAAAAAATAGTAATTAAACTTTAAAAAAAATACGAAAATTATCACAAATTTGCGAAAACATAAACAAAATCTGAAAAAATAGGAAAAATATTAATTACATTATTAATACATGCGTTAAACACAAACACCCGTCAAATCAAACCCTATCTAAACACTACCTTCGAGATCACTGAGCACTTCCTCGTCGCTGTCCAGCAGTGATATACGTTTGTGTTTACGCTTTCGCTTCGGCTGTTCCTCCACTTCGACGGCAATCACTTCGGGAACCACTTCTGGAACCACTTCGGGGACAACATCTTCGGCGTCCACTTCGTACACATCGCCCAGATCTTCGGGACCGCTGGACAGCTCCCTCTCGTCCAACACTATACCCGACGGTCGGATCCGCTGCCGGGTATAGCCGGGAACCTCAGCCGCCATCCAATCGCGTACACTCTCCTCGTCTTCGTAATTGATGGCCGGGAGTCGGCTCAGCGGAATCGCCGGCAACATGTCCTGAACCTCGTCGGCCATATGTACGCTCCGGAGGTACTCTTCGTTGTCGTCGGCGGCCGCCTTCAGGAAGCGCTCGATCTGTGTGTCGATAATCTCGTGCCGACCGAACGCCACAAACTCCCGGTCGACGAGCGCTTGACGGGCGCCGGCGCTGAAACCGTGCCACACTTTATTGCCCCGGAGTAGACGCAAGTGTTCGCTCCCGGAGTCGGACAGCGATTGGTAGTGGTGTTCGTTGAGGTGTTGGGCGATGTCGTGGTCGTGATTGGGCAGCGACTTGTTTTGCGGTGCGCACAGCAAACACTGGACGGGCTCCCAACGCGAGTGCTGATACACGTGCGACTTGAATAGGTTGTAGCGTTCAAACGGTTTGGCCGCTGTGTCCCGAAGCGCGGCCAACTTGACGCACACCGGGCAGTGATAGCGGCCGTGAGTGTCCCGATCATCGGTGGCCAACTCGACGAACAGCCGGCCGTCGGCCTGTTTGTTGAGGAATCGGTTGCACCACGTCTTCACCGCTTGGGAGTCCTTCACGTCGTCGGTGTTGTCGACAATGTCCGGGAAGTGGGTCTCCAAGTGGTCCACGGCTTTCTTGTAACCGCGTCTCACTTTATGGCAGAAAAAGCAGACAAATTTCGTGTCCCTATCTTTGGTGATGGACTGGTCGTTGTCCTCATCACTGGACGCCACGGCTATGGTTGTGGTCTTGCGGTACTGTTGACTCGTATCGCGTTTGATGGCCGCGACGTCCACATCGCTGTCCGGGTCGTCGTTAATGAACTCGTCGTCCGATCCGCGCCTATTGAAACTCCGCTTCGGTTCGCTGTCCAGATGTAAGTACTTCTTCACCGAAGGCGGCGCCGTCTCCGGCCGTTGTGAGCACCTCTTGCGCGGCGACAGCGAACCGGACGCTTGCCGTTTGCGCTGCGGCGGCGACAGTGAACCAGATTTGTGGCGTTTTCTTAGCGGTGCAGACCGACTGGTCGACGGCCGCGGGTCGTTGTCGTCGCTGGACGACCAGCCGCTGCCGCTGCTCGTCGACAGCAAACTTATGGGTTTGGGCTTCACTTTTACCGACTTGCGAGGCGGTGACCGGCGTTCAGTGATAATGGGCTTTGGCTTATGCTTAGGCGTGAGTGGTTCAGAGGCCACGGGCTTTGGTTTGGTTATAGGCTTCGGGTCAGAAGAGGTAGGCTTTTGCTTAGACTTAGGTTCGGCTGCGGCGGACACGGCGTTAGCTCTGGCGATCTCATCGGGCGATCGATTGTCGGGCACCAGTAGTCTGAGGCAAGTTTTGTTGGCAACGCTCAGACCATAAGGCTTTTTCGGACACGACCTCTGGTGTGTCATCACTTCCACCACTACAGTGGCGATAAAATCGCTGCAATGCATACAATACCACGCGTTTCTCACTGTCCGGTCCTTCAGGCGCCGCAGATGATAGCGCCGGATGTGGTCGTGACAGTCGTCTTTGGGCACCTCTTGGCGGTCACCCTTACAGAGACGGCACAACCACTGCTTGTTTGGCGGGCTTTTGATCAGTTGGGCGGCCGCGGGCGGCACCTGTCGCTGGACGGCCGGTCTCGGAGTGATTGTCGGTCGCGGCTGTGGCTTCGGCGGCGGTGCGACCACTCTGGGAGGCGGCGGTGGCCGCTGTCGTGGCGCCGGTCGACGGATGTCATCGTCGGAGTCGTCGGACTTGTATTGGTTGCACCGCTGCTGTTCGAGCCGTGACTTCTGTTCCAGTCGGCGCTCCATCTCCGCCTTCCGTTGGGCCAAGTCTTGTATGCCTTGCGGTGTCTTCGACTTCGGCATAGGCTTACGGCCGCTGAGGGCTATGGCGGTGGCCGCCGCCCCCTGAGCGCCGCGATTGGTATACCGGGGCACAAATGGCGCCTCAATTGGATCAGTTACACGGGTACTGAGGTTAGCGTTGCGTTTCTGTTGCGACGACTGGACGTGTGATGTCCTCTCCTTATTCTTCTTGAATTTCAACTCTTCCGTCGGGGCCTCCAATTCCCTGGCGCTCGACATCTGATCCGTTTCTGTCGATGATATTCGGTTCACTTGTATACCGGGTTTTGATTGATTTGATTGGAATATGTCTGACATAAAGGCAAAGACAATAATCATAAGTCCTTAGAGACCAGAGGAATGATTAAAAAGCAAATACAAACCTATTTCAGACAATTGCTGCGCCACTGGCGGCGTTCGCGGATCAGTTGCGTTGCTATCGGTATCACAGGTATAGTAGAGTAGATAGTAATCGGGATGTGTTTGGCACACGTGGTCGCGGACTTTGTCCTGAGATTCGTCGGCGAACTGACAGTACAGGCACTGGTGGTGGCGCTGAAGGGGCGGCTTATTGTTATGGCGGCGGGTCTTCCACCGTAGATAGTGGTGCACAGGTGTGCCCAGCGGTACGCTATCGGCCCGATCGACAATATCCACGGCCGGACACTGGAGTATACGACACGCTTTGCCGCCCAATTGACGGGTACTGTTGACCGAAGTGTCGTATATATGCGGATGAATGAGCGACTGGTGAAGGTTCACGTGTTCGGCGGTCACCGCCCGATACAGACACAGATTGCACTGATAGGTCCGGTGCTGGTGCTCAGCGATCATATGCCGGATCAGCTTCTGCCAGTCGTACACGTCTTCGATCTGTGGATGTAATCAAACAAAACAAAAAACACATGAAATACACAAAAATAATTATCAATTCATTAATCAATAAGTCTTAAAACTAGTGATAAATAAACGCTTTGTATTCAATTTGTATTGAATTTCAGCACACAATCCAAGGCCTTAACCACTGAGTGGTAAACACGATATCATTACTAATTAATCACATGTTTATGTCAGCAAAACACCCAAACATTAAGCTAAACATTAAACACTTCTTGAGGGGCGAGGGAGGGGTGGGAACCGATAGGGGAGGGGTTGATGGCCAGGGCTGACAGCACCCAATGTATGCCAACCATAACCACCGCAACGGCTACTGAATATAGCCATACAAACGCATTGGCAAAGAGTTGATCCAATGTATAGACAACAGATAACAGCTAAAGACTAACACACCGTCAGTGGTGTGATCACCACAACCGCATCGGCGGTAACTCTTAAACAACAATACCTTCTTCTTGTCGGCACTGATAGTGGGATAACAATAACAACAGTAAAACTGTTGCTTCGGATGCTCTGACCGGAGATGGCGTTCAAAGGCCCGTTCGGTGTGACGGGTGGCGAAACACTGGCCACTCTTATTGCCGGACGTGAGACAAAATTTGGTACACTTGAAGAATCGGCGCAATTGTCGCTCTTCGACGGAACAGACATCGGGAGTCACTTTAGGACACGTGGTGTCCGACATCGGGCGCCGATACTGACGCACATATGGGGGCAATTTTCTGGTCGGATCTGTTGGCACAGGTGTGTCATCGTCTTCGGCAGCGGTGGTAGTGGTAGACATCGTGTCTGGTATTACTGGCGATGAGGTATGGGATCAGTTGAGGTGATGGCAGACACATGTAGTTCGCATCGCCTGTGGATTGACTGGCCTTTGATTGGATGGTATGCCTGAATGGTATGACTACACTACTGGTGACTATGGGATCAGTTATAGTGATAGTTCACTAAATGATAGTCAGTTTTAATGATCATTGAAAATGTGGTAAACATTTGTATTGTAAACAAATTGAAAGTATATTTTTAAGTGACTTTTTTTGTGACATTACTTTTCAATGGGTTTTTTGTTCATTCATTTACAATACAATCATCTGTTATTATACAGTATGCGCGCACTTATCGTACGTATAGTACGTCCCCTATTGGCTGACAACACAAATGTGAGGCTAGTTTTAATTGCAAATTACATTTTTAATGTAATTATTATTTAATCATGTTTAATTTTTGGTCATGTTATGTTTGATTTGGATTAGCGCTTAAATTAATAAACTATTTAGTTATTTATTTCGTATTTTTGATTACTAATTAGTGAACATTATTTATGGGGTAATGTTTAGTTACTATGACAACAGTAAACAGTAGACGTTGAATAAAAAGTGATCCAATTTTATTTAGGTGCAATAAAAGTCACTAAATAACGTTGACAATTATTGTAGCATTCTTGGTAAAAATTAGCGCTATTAAAGTGGCGGTAATGTACATTATTTAAAATTTATACTGAATTAACATGGTAATCAATTAATAATTCACTAATTAAAACTTCACAGTTCAAAGACATAATAAGCCTTTTAATTACTGTATGATAAATGTGCTGGTATTATCATAATTTTTATATTATTGTACAGTATTAAACTCAATAATTAACCAATTTTTGTATTTATAAAGATAAGTTTTTTAAAATGAGAGTAAAATTGTGAATTACCTGCGATTGTGAATACCAACGTGGTTAACATGAGATGAATACCAAGTTAAATTGGTGCGAAAAAGCGAGTGTTAACAAGCTGCGAGTTATTTATAAACTGCTGCGAAAAAACTTGTGGTACTTTTAGAGTCTAAATTTAGACACTTCTATTAGAGTAATAGACTAATACACAAAAATTTTTGTCGTAAAACTCATAAATACAATAAAATATTCGAATCAACAAAAAAATATTAAATTTTGAAATATTTGATACACCAATTGATGGAACTTTTTAAAATGTCTCATACACTATAGTCATAGCTAGCTAGCTTCTTTAAAACATTAAACTTGAACATCATTAATTTTTATTCATATTTGTCAAAGTTAAATATGACCACGATTACTATGAGAATATTTCACTTAAATAAGTTCCCAATTACATCAAACTTGTTCTAATATGCTATATTTTATAAACTAGCTGATCAAATATTTCAATGCAATAATTGCATCACCAGAAAATAAGGTTGATGTGTAAAAAATAAAAATTGCTCGATACGTAATCCATATAGAACGTAAAATTATTATTATGCAACACATATTGTAAGTCATTATAGTTTTTACTATCAAGCTCATTTGTTAAAAACTTTTAAATATATTTATGATTAAAATTTTGATAAATAATTAAAAATGTAATGTAATATAAATGATTGTCATTTATTTAAAAAAAAATTAAATTCAAATTAAACAAAATTAATTTATAAGTGGAATGTAATTGGATTTGCGAAGACTTTATTAATTATATTAATAAAAATTTCATTATAAAAAAATAATTCACAATAAATTATTCGTCAGAATTAATTAAATAATTTAAAATACCTATCGATTTAAATACAATGGACTGGAATAAAAAGGGGAAGAATTGACCATCACAGCCACGCGAATGACATTTGTTTCAATAAAAAGTAATTTGCGATTTAAGCGAATAGAGAGAGAGAGTTGGTCACCCTATTCGCGGTGCGACAACACAAATAGTCCCAAACAGCCCAACACAGCGTACTATTTAACCCAATTAAAAATGCAATCAATTAATTTCATACTGGTAATCTCTCTCTCTCTATTCGCTTAAATCGCAAATTACTTTTTATTGAAACAAATGTCATTCGCGTGGCTGTGATGGTCAATTCTTCCCCTTT